TTAAGGCGTTTCGAAAAACAGCTGCAGCATATATTTATAGTAAAAAAATAAATGGAGCAAAAAAAGCTTTTCATTATCATAAGAAAGTTTTAAATTTTTTTCTAGCTACGGGCTTTTTTTTTTGCCTCCACAGCAGCACCTTCTTGAGTAGCAGGACTTTCTTATTTATTTAATAAAGTTTTTTCTTTATTAAGTTTCAGACAACTTTTTTTCAGACCATCCGCAGCTTATTAGGACTAATTACCTGAGCACATTAATAACATAAGTTCTCAATCATCATACATGCGCAACAAATTTTTTCTCCCGGTGATGATTTTTTTTAACTTTCTTAAAACCTTTTTTTCTGCGAGTGCATAATATCGTTATGTTTGTAATATCATATGTTTGTAATATCATATGTTTGTGTATAATCTTTATAAAACTTCAAAAGTATTTTGAATTTTAAAATAATAAAAAAAAAAAAAAAATTAAAAAAAATAGCCGCCATTGCACAGTGGGAAATTAGATGGCCAAAAATCAGAAAAGTAACTTAGTTCAATCATTATGTCTGATAGTGGGTTTTGTAACAAATACCCTCACTAAGAATTTTCCTTTTTTATGAAATTCTAAATGTGGCAGGCTCAATTGTAGTGGCTTCTTGAAGTTAGTTTTTTTAATGAATTTTCGATAAAATTCTCAAATTGCTGGGTTTTAGTAATTATTATTTTTTTAATATATAGATCATTAAAGAATTGAGAATATATACATCATTGGAAAGATTATAGTATAGACTGTTAAAAACAAAAAATAAAAAATTTCTTGAAAAAGTAGGTAGTAAAACTTTTAGCATTAAAAGTAAAAAATTCATCACAAAAGTACTAAATTTTAACTTTGATAAAGAATTAAAAAATTGTTCCAACTTGTACCTTTTCCATATTTTGATATTTTTTAGTCTATAGTATCTACTAACTACCCTGCGAAGTGTAGCTGCGATCATCCGCGATCTTGAGAGCTAAACAGTTTTAAAAAATTGATGTTTTGTTAAACAAATAAAAAACTTCGATAAAAATAATTTTTTTCATTCATTACAAAAAGTAAAAAACATACAAACTACTTTAAAGCATGAAAAACCAAAATAAATTTGTTTTCGTCTTGTTACTAAAAGGAAAAATTTTTTATTTTAACTTCATTAATTTTTGGTTTAAAATGCATAACTAATTTAAGAAAAAATAATTCTAAAGTGCATTTTTAATGTCCCACTAATCAACCAAAACCACATGAATTTCTAAATGATGTTAAAAAATTTCTTTTTACTTTGTAAGTTAATTGTTGTAAACTAAAACAATGGAGGAAATCAATTTAATACAAATTGTGCAATGTTTTCAGCTTTCGGTAAATACTTTTGAAAATGAAAATAGTGGGTTTAAATACATTACTAGAATTCAAGTCAGAGAATAAAAAATAAATACAATGGCTAGAGAAAACGACGTCTAAAGAAGCTTTTGTAAATTTCTTGCATAACAAACCTTCAGGAAGTGTTTCTGAAAATAGGGTAGATTAGGGTAATATGAGCACCTTGGTAATATGAGCATACTTAAAGATTTATTAGATGTAAGCAGTGAAGTTAAAGTTGCTCTATATTTTTCGATTCAACTTTATGTGGTGGTAACAGGAATCAGTACAATTAGCGTAAATTTATACGCAGTAATTAGCGGATATCATCTAATTAAAACGCTTTTAAATTTTTTGCTTTGTTAAAAAAAATTATCACGCGTGAATAATTCTGTGGCGCGATATTTTGGTGCTAAAATAATGAAATTATTTTTTTCATAAAAAAAAAAAATTAGCTAAAAGTCCAATTTATTTTTGTTTGAAAAATAATGCATAGAAACATTTATTTTTGACTTTATTTAAAGATACCGTTTTTGTGTAATATGAGCATGCTCAAATTACCCAGTGCTTTTCATTGAAATTGCTTAGTTTAAAGTCCTAAAATAGCAGTGGTTTTTATTTGCTTCTTGAATAAAAACAAGACATAGTAAAAAATTTTAATATATTAACAATACTAAATATTTTTTTGTAACTTAAATCTAAAAAATTTTAATTTTTATTGTTCAAAGGTTTGAGTTAACAAAATTGAAAAAACAAAGTATTAGTTTTTTTTTTTTTTGGCGGAAAACATAGTAGCATTGTTTCAACAAAATGTAGCTTAAAATTTGATCTTTTAATGATATGTTTTGTTAATCACGAATCCTTATATTCCAACAATTAGTTCTATTAGGCAGGATGGTCTTTTTTTACTTAATTAATGCTATTTTTTTGAGCTAATTTAAAGTGCTTATATTACTAAGGGGTCAGGGTAACACGAGCACTTTTGCTACTTTTTTAAAACCTCTGTGTTTTTAAGAAAAAATGTCAAGTGTCTAAATATCTAAATAGATTATGAATAGGGATCCCTAAAAATTGTTTATTTGCAAAAATTTTGGATCCAGCATATTTATTTTTGAAAATATTCCAATTTTTGCTTAAGGTGCTCATAATACCCTAATCTACCCTACCCATAAAGAAGCACCATGCAGATTTCCATCTTATCGAGTAATTTTTGAAATAAAAAACAAGTGCTCCTGCCTTAAAACATCCATTAAAGTTACTGAAATAAAGGCCAAAGTTAAACTACAGGATCTAATGGATCCATACATATGGATCCATATTTATTGATCCATATGTATGGATCCATAAGATCCATACATCCAAAATTATGGATCCATACATCCAAAAGGCTTGTGAAACTACGGGAGAAGAAAATTTTAAAAGTTTTGATGATAAAAAGAAAGACTTTGATGAATTAATACTAATTAGTTGTCAGGGTATGGACGAAACATCAAGTCACTAAAAATACTATTAACGTTTTAATAATTCCAATCAAAATAACCTTCAAGATTCGGATCTATTAGTCACAGTAACATCACCTCTTCGATTACATGTACAATCAGATTTAAACAATCTTTTATGGAATAACATAATGTCTCAAGGTATTAGATTCTGTAGGCCAATTATACTGGAGTATGTAAATGAGAATAAAGAAGTGGTATTAAAAATTAAGGAAGAAATTGAAAAAGAAACTCTTAATTTATATCCTGATAAAGTTTACCTTTCAGGACATAAGTATATTTTTATCAACTATAGTTTTATCTTTTCAATTGATGGAAAAATCTTAGTTAAATCACGGAGACTTCTTCGACACAATGTTGTCCGATTTGTCACGCCACACCTAACATAATGAGCAATCTAAAAAGAGGTTTGTTACAAATAGGCAGGCATTGTGCTATGGCATTTGACCACTACATGCTTGTATTAGGTTTTTTGAATTTATTCATATTTCATATAGACTTGAAAAAACTTGGAAAGTGGAAAAGGTTTTCAAAAAAGCAATGCTTTTTGAGAGAAAAAATTATACATGATAGGATGTTTGAAGAATTTGGTTTGAGAGTTGATGAACCAAAAGCTGGTGGATCAGCTACTGGAACTAGTAATAACGGAAATTTATGCACATGAGCTTTTTTTGATTCTCTATTACTAAGCAAAATTTTAGAAATGGATGAAGAAATTATCAGATTACATAACATTCTAATTGAAAATAATTGCAAAGACCCAAATAATCCGGAAAAAATTGATAAATACTGCAATGATACATATAAGAAGGTATTAAAGATATATGATTGGTTTCCAGCTTCCATTCAAAAAGTATAAGCTCATGCTAGGAAAAATATTATTAATTTACCAGTTCCACTTGATTTAATGGGAGAGGAAGGAACTAATTAGTTCAATCTCAATAACTAAAAGATTGAAAAGTAAGAAAATATTGTGTCTACCGGAAAAAGTTAAAAGTTTGTTAGCAGTTTATAGCGAATTGGAATTAGATGAAATTAATGACTTAGATAAATTATATTTAAATGTTGATAACGTTGACGAAAATCTAGAATTAGATATAGAGGTAAAAGAATAAAGTTCTAAACTGTGTCATCTGTATAATGTATAACTTTATATTTGTTTGTCTACTATATAAATTTATTAAGTATATAACAAAATATGTTAAAAATTGCAATGATTCAGTTTAAATTATTAGAGTTTAGACACAAGATTATCCCAAAAGTTTATTTACTTGTTTGTTTTTTTATTATTAGTTTTATTATTATTTGTTATTAATTAAAAATTAAAATAACAGACTTTAATTCTCATTATTTAATCTGTTAAAGTTCAAAAGATATAATTGTAGTACCGTAAGATTGGGTGGCTTTGGCCCATTTTGCATCTTAATGTCTATTGCATAATAGCCACAAAAGTTATTTCCTCAAACACTAAGTACTTTTAGAAGCGCATAGAAAGGACAGTTAGAACTATCTGTCTCCCATTTGAAAATTATTTACCTGAAGTATCTTTTGGGTGGTTTAAATGGTGGACCAAAGTCGCCCTATGTGTTAAGGTGACTTTGGCCCAACCCTGTAAAAAGGAATTAAAGGAAGCAAAACAACAATAAAAACAACAATATTTAGGCAAAGAAAATAAATTTATAAAAATAAAGTAACAAAAAAAGATTTAGTAACAAAGTTCTTGTATACAGTAAATAAAATATAGGTACAAACTAAACAAGTATAGGTACCAAGTAAACAAAACAGTTTAGGTAAAAAGTAAACAAAAATGACAAAAATAATGTTTTAAAAAATTTAGTGAAAAAGTTCTGGAACTAAATAAATTCCTCTTTTCAAAACTTTCTTTGGTTCCTCAATAAAATCGACTATTTCAGACTGGGGTTGAAAAAAGTTGCTCTGCTGGTAGAGACCATTTCCAGTTAAGTCCATTTTTTTTTCATAATAGTGATTTCTGCTCCATTTTTTCTTAATTTTTTCAACTGCAGAAAAAAAATTTCAAAAGGTTTTTTTAAATTTTTCAGTAGTTTCATTAAATAATATTAGTTATTAAATTAATTAGTTATAAAGTTTACTAATTGATTAGCTAAATATAAATATCTCAAAATAAATAAACAAATCTGTCCAGGATTTAACTCTCCATTGCATTTAACAATTACATAACAATTTTCTACAAGATTTAATAGTTTCTCCATTTTACAAACATTTTTTGTTTTATCAATGTTTTGAAAGTTCTTTTTGCCTAATGCTGAACAATCTAAAGATTCTGTGTGACTTTCTACAACTAAACTTATATCTGCAAAAATTAGATTAGAAGTCTCAGTAGTTCCAGTATTTGTACTTGGGCCAGCAAAGTCAATGTTGTTGGTCTCAGTTATATTTATAATACTGAGAGGTGTATCAACCTTATTTGAATTTAATCTATTATTTTCATTTATAACAAATCTGTTTAACATAAGCTTTTACCTGGGACAGCACATACTTTACGTCGCTTTGGTTTTTAGAACCATCTGAGGGATCATCCAGTGACTTACATAAATGATCTAAAAATGATTAGCTTACTAAATCAGTAGTTAAGTCTAAACCTACATTGCAACATGGATTTCGTGAAAGCACTTGAGACTTGTCTAATGGAAAAATTCTAGTTTTACAAAAACCAGCTCTAAGGTTATCATTCCCATGTTCACTTAAGTTGGTAATTAAACGGTCTAGAAGTCTAGGAAATTCATCTTTAGGAAGAGAAGCAACTCTTCTTCCTTTTCCTTTCTCCTTCCATTCACATAATATTTTGCGCCAGTTAATCTTTATAGGTCTAAAGTAGACAACATATAATGGCTGCGTGAGATGTGTAGAATTTGCTGGTAATGCTACAACTCCTATGTTATTGCTTTGACATGCATCCAGTACTGCAATGCTCAAATGTAAAGATATGTTATCACCTATAATGGCACTTCTTCCTTGAGCCTCTTTAAGGCTCGGAAGAAGAAAAACCAGTCCTCAAAACATGTTGAGTCAAACCAACCACTTTTCGATCTGTTAAAACGTGCTTTTGGTGGCCCTAGTCCCATCCATGTATTCCATAACGACTCAGCTTTGTAAACAACATAAGGTGGTAGCAATTCACCATTAGCATTGCCACAAAACATTACAGAGGATGAGGTCTTTGTAGAATTAATGATGCCTTCAGGATACTTACATCCACGCTTTGTTAACTTTTTTTTTTACCTGGATCATCACTGAGATTGGTTTCATCATAGTTCCATATATTATCAGGTGATATATTACTTATTTCATTTGATAGATTTATAAAGTAGTTATCAATCATAGTCGTTCCTATTTCTGCTCTCTTTCGCTTTATGTTGCTTGCAAATCTTACTGTGAGTTCTGGATTTTTTTTAAAAAAAGATTGAATCCAATCGCCACCTGGAAAATTATTTTTGAACTGAGGTATAATGATACCTTTTTTCTCTAAATACCCTTTTACTATGCATTCCAAATCATATTTATCAACAGGAAAACCAAACTCAGATGATTTTATTGCATATTCCTTAAACATATCTTCTTCTTTTGATGTAAATATTTTCTGGCCACCATACTTTTTAGGATATGTCTGTTTTATTTTAATTTTTATTGTTGATCTTGGTATATCGTATTTCAAAGCTGCTTGTCTTTTAGTAATTAAACCATTCTTTAATTCTTTTAATGTATTGTCTAACTGTTCTAAAGTATAAGTAACATACTTTTTTCTTCCACAATTTGGCTTGTAATTTTGTGGCATATTTAAGCTAAGAACTAAACAAATTTCACTATAATTATTATACTATAATTTTTAATTAAATTATATAAATAAAAAAAAATTATAGTATATTTTTATACTGATTTACTAATACAAACTGTTATACTGATTCTCTATTGCATCACTACTACAAAATTTTTCATTCCAACATAATAACTACCATAGTATCTATAAATGATCACTAAAAAAGGTTTACTCTAATACATGGGGTGACTTTAGCCCGGGCCAATGTCACCCTAAGTAGTGGGCCAAAGACAACCTATATTATTTTAGCCTCAATTACAAAAAAGTAATAAACTTTTAAGCTTTGAAAACAAGATATAATCAAACACTTATAGTTTAAAATTAATTCAGTGTATATTCCGATAAAAAACCTTCTACAGATACTGCTATCGATGTAAAAGTTTACACACCTAAAAAAGTTCGTATTTTAGGTGCTTCTTCTTAAGTGCAATTTACAATAATATCACAAAGACTCGAGTTAAGTAAACTAATTTAAACTAAATAAATAATAAATTTTTCACAATTTGCTACTAAACAGCAACCGGCGTACCTTGAGGTATCGATTTTAAACCATTTTTAAATAAAAATTTCTGTTGGGCTAAAGTCATCCCGAGGGCCAAAGCCACCCAATATTACGGTAACTATAATAAAGTTTTCACCATCCCCAAAATGAGAGGCTTGTAAACTTTATATGATCATAACTTTCAGAAAATAAAAGATTATCAAATGAAAGCAAAAATCTGTCAATGAATATGAGTTTAGTATAAGATAGCATCAAAAATCTGTTTTTAGACTCATTGCTCTCATATTTAGGGTGAAGCGGGGCTAACTTTTCAGGTTATTTTTGATCCAGGGCATAAATCACCGAAATTTTTTTTTCAAATTAATATATGTTGAATTAAGTATGAACATTTTGTACCTTGAAAAATTATCCATTATTTAAACAATGTCCAAAAGTATTAAATATGAAAAATCCAACTGGTGCCCCAGTGCTTAAGTGGATTCTCCTGCCCTCCTGCTGCGCCTAATAGCTGGTTAAACATTAAAATTAAAAATATTATATTAAGTCTCTATTTTACTCATTTAAAGCTTAATATCCACATAAATACACTATATTTTTGGCCACCTATTTCAATGGAATGTTCCCACTGTGCATTGGTAGGAATCGCATCTCTAGTTTCTTGTTCAGAAGTTCGACGCCTTAAGCCTGTTCTCCATTCCGAACTTTTTGCGCTTTGGAGAAGAGGAAAAAGTTCTTTGAGCATGCGCAAACAGTTTTTTTAAACCCGTTCTCCAATCAGACTTTTTTGCGAATGCTCAAAGAACTCTTCCGTTCCCCCAAAGCGCAAACAGTTCTAAATGGAGAACGGGCTTTATCCACTCGAGCTACACCGGCCTAAAATCTGGTGTAGATTTTTTAAAATAATGTAATAATTTTTTTGAGAAAAATGTTATAGATCAAAATTAAGGAGAGCTTGACGCAATGTAATTTTCAAGTGAAAATCAAACTGTAAAACTTAAAGACTGTTTTAGTATGTTTTAACATATGCTTTAACATTACTTAGTTTAAAGTTTACGTACGTTAGATACTCGTTCACGTTTTCTCATAGTGCTGCAACTCCTTCTTGCCAATACCTCGGTTGCAATGGCTGCCAAGGGTTTCTTGTCAAATACGCTCCAAGGGACACTACTACTTCTACTTTGCAAGACCACGCTGTGAACGACCATCCTTTTGATCAATTCTTTTTTTAAGACGTTTTTTATCTCTTTTGCAGTCATCTTATTTGCTTTGCAACCAATTTTATCTTTTCTTTCTGGTTCTATATTATTCTTCTTTCTTTGAAGTATATTATAACTAGTAAAATTTGGTATGTTCTCCATTCAAAAATGGTTTACAATAAAGCTTTTGTTCTTATCTGGATGCAAATCCGTAAATGCGTATACTTGTTTTCTAACGGAGTTTCCGTTTTTTTCATTTACTATTGTCACTAAATAAATTTTTTGTTAATAATACATACAAGTTAAATTGGTAACAAAATATAAGTTGTTGCAAGCAAATTAAATCACACCTTCATATTTTAATATTTACTCAAATTTTGTCAAGATTTTCAGTTATCACATGTGATATATATATATATATATATATATATATATATATATACATATATATATATATATATATATATATATATATATATATATATATATATATATATATATATATATATATATATATATATATATATATATATATATATATATATATATATATTACATACAAGTATGCATTCATACATACACATATATACATTACGGTGGAGTGAAAACAACTTTTCTTAAAAATTCATATTTTCTCCCTGATTTCTATAATAATTATAGGAAAACTAAAAAATGAGACCAAAATGAGCAAAATTGACAAGAATTACCCCCAGCACCAATTTTTGAACTATTCTAAACCAAAAGTTTCCAAGTTTTCTACATTTAATACAGGCGCAGAACCAGCGTTTTTTGGTGTTAAAGATATCCTACTTCCAGACATGGAGCAAACTTTAAACATTTATATGTTTATACTTAGGTCAAATAGGAATGCTTTACAAAAAGTTGCAATGATTGGGGCCCGTAACCAAAAATTCCCCCAACAAATTATCAAGTCACCCCAAATTTGAGGGCAACTAGTTTGCAACATATTTATTTCTCAACTCAAATAAAATTCATCGATAGATTTCAAGTTTCATGAAATAATCTTTTAGCATTCAAAGGTTATATCTCCCTCAATTTGAGAAGGTTGCAATTTTTATGTTGCCATAATTTTTGAACAATAAAATATTAATTCCTGAAATTTGAAATTTATCAATGAATTCTAATGGAGTTGAGAAAAGTAAAAAAAAAAAATGTTGCAAACTAGTTGCCCTCAAATTTGGGGTAAGGGGATAATTTGTTTCGGGCTTTTTTGTTCTTGGCCCCCAATTATTGCAATTTTTTGCAAAGCATCGTTATTTGACGTAAGAATAAATAAGAATGTTTATAGTTTGTTTCATGTCTGGAAGTTAGCTATCTCTAACAACAAAAAACGCTGGATTCGCCTCTAATTTTATATTTACTAATTTAAATAATGATTATTAGTGTTATTTCTTTCAAATGGATTTATGTTAATTTATAAACAGGTTATTTTAGAAACTTTTAGAATTGAAGAGGTGCATATAATACAAAATATTTACATTTATAGAGAAAAAATCGTACTAATTAGTGTTACAATGTGCCTTGGTATTAAATATTGGCATATTCTTCCTAGATTCTAGACGGACACGTATCATACCATTTCTATTTATCTCACCACAAACCAATACAGAAACTTCTGACACCATCTTTACATAACGTTCTACTGCTAGCGTATGGCACGGTAATTTATCCATAATGTCAGATAGTAGAATGAAATGCTCTTTTACCTCCTCCAGCTGCTCGTTAGTGAGCTGCATTGTTAATGGTGGCTCCAACAGCTCCAAATTACTCCAATCAATCAACTCCCACGTATTATTTGCCATAAAATTCAGAGTAAGAACTTTAAACTGACGCTAACTTGATTGGTTAGCTTTCATAACTTTTTTTTCCTAGCTCTCGGTATACACTTAACACCTAATTCTCGGATATGTGGCTGATCATCTGATACCATTGCCAGAAGAATATTTTCTTGATGACCACAGAATGCATTTGTTTGAGTTGCTTTGTCTACTATTTTACGCAAAGAAGCTGGCAGATATCGTGATTTTGCAATTGTGCTGTACAGATGCCTGCTGCCATGAAAAATAGAAGACTCTTTATTGATGATGAACCACGTAGGTGCATAAACTGGCATAATGAATGTCGATAAAATTACTAAATTTGAGAAGGAACTGCTGGTAGATATATATATATATATTTTGAGGATCCTATTGGCAGTGGTGAGCCACATAGAATGAGCCAGTTTCCCAGGGCTGCGCCTCTCAAAGTTGGTAGAACAAATACCATTTAGTACTGCTTGGCAGAAGTCGAAAAGATAAAGTTGATCTGTACTGAGCACTGTTCTGTTCACCTCTGGTATTTCTACATTATGGTTTATAGGTTAAAAATCAACATTCTTTAAGACCTTACAAGTTTCAAAGGATTTTCCAATTAAGCCTGAATAGTATCTCGAACCAGATGTTGGACCATCCAACTCTCCAAACAAATGGCGTAGTGGAAGCGCGTTTGCATGTAGCAAACAAATTACCAATTGTAGCGGCCGTTGAAGTTCTAACTCAATTTATTTGATAACAACACCCTTGTTTCCCGTTTTTACGTTTGTTCCATCACAGCCCAGCACTTGCAAATTATCCTAAATAATATTGTGCTCTTTAGAATACTATATAATTGCAAATTTTAGTGATTCAGCTGTTTTGCTAGAAGAGTGCAGTGTCCCAAATCCCAAATGACTGTGTGTTAATGACCGGGTGTTTTCAACAATAGCAGGTCGTTTTGAAGTCATAGGTTAGAAATGAAAGAATCAAATAGAAATGAAAGAATCAAATGAGACTACATAATTAAGGTTTGAGCTCCGTTTATTTTTGATTATTTTGCAGTGTTGCTGTAATTTTTTTCTTCTATTGAACCTATAGTCATTTCGCGTTCACTTCTTTGATCTTCCATGAAAGGCTGCTCCATAGCTAGTACTATATTAAATTTGGCACAGCAGCATTTCTTTAGATCTTTGCATTGGCAATCAGATATATTGAACAATTTTGCTAGTTTTTCCTTGTAGAGCTGAAATTTGTTTTCTTTATTTTTCCTGTTTCTTGGAGTTAATTGCAGCTTTATGTTCTGCTCTTAAAGGTTAAAAACTCTCTTTGCCAAAGATGGAATTGATTACACAGTTGGTATGTTACATTTTCCACAAATATTTAAGACCTCTATTGCGCTTGAGCCTGCTTCATTCTATTTGGTTGGTTTTTCCAGCAGATTACTGTAAATTTAATATATATATATATATATATATATATATATATATATATATATATATATATATATATATATATATATATATATATATATATATATATATATATATATACATTTGTTTACATCTAACTGTATTATTATTTGACAAACGATATGTAATATAGCTTGCTTACACTTTCTTTTAAATACACCATATGCCGCATAACATCTAGTCTTGTTGGCAGTTGCACATCAAAGAGTGGCTTAGATCTGTTTTAGATCTTTACGTTTTATTTACTGAAATTTAAAACAAAACTTGCTTTTTCTATAATCTTGCATAGTACATTAAAATTGTAATATATATGTATATATATATATATATATATATATATATATATATATATATATATATATATATATATATATATATATATATATATATATATATATATATATATATATATATATATATATTATAATAAAATATAGAAAATATAAATTATAAAAAATATATAAACGGTGATACTTATTATTACTGATTAAATGATAACAAGTATTATAGATATTATAATAAATGTTATCATTTGTTAAGTGAATATTAACCTTTAAAAATATGATTCGTGGAAAGTAGTAGAGCGTGGATTTTATTATATTCTAGATATAAACATTTTTATTTCTTTAAATGAGTTAAAAGTATTAGATCAACCTTTTCAATGCAAAAGTGAGTATTTTAGTCCTAATACTAATGGATAATATAATCAAATATTATAACTTCAAAGCTTCAAATATTTAAAAAAATTTTAAGTTTGCGCTTTCAATAATAAGTAATATTGGTCAAAAATTGGTGCTAGGGGTAGTTCTTGTCCAACTTTGCTCATCTTGGCTTTATTTTTTTAGTTTTCCTATAATTATTTTAGAAATCAGGGAGAAAATATGAATTTTAAAAAAAAGTTGTTTTCACTCCACCCTAATATACAAACGTAGATACATATAAACAAAAATACGAATGTATAAATAAATATACCTATACAAATACACATATATTGCACTAAATTTAGGTGCTTTGTCATCGCATTGAAAGACTAAATCTAAACGTTGTCTCTCCATTTCTCCACCATTAAACTCCATAAAATCTCCACAAAATCTCCATTTCTCCACCAATACTTTGGTTTAATTGTATTGCGAAAACATCTATAATATTTTGATGAAGACGTGGTTAGCTCTTTTAATTGTTTTTAAATAATATTTTTTGTCAATTTGATGTTATTTACTTTCATGTTCTAATTTACTTTACAACTGTGCTACTTTGAACTAATGACGCGGTTCCTCTAAAATCAAAAAGATATATAATTTATTATATCTTGATGTTAATCTAAGGGGATAAAATCAGTACCCAAAATGACGCTTTTATTTTTTCAAACATATTTGATTTTGTATATAAATTTTATAAATAAAGATATTAAAATTATATTAGAAATATTTTATAATATCTCACATCTCCTATGCCTATTCGCTCTTAACATTTTATGCTAAACATTGTTTACCCTCAATCCCTCCATGTATAGCTCATGCATGGTTTTCATTGAATTATAATCGTTACCACAACGCCTGCCAATCTAGCCGATCTAGTGCTAATTGTAAACCATGTTTGTTACAAAAAAATAGCATACAACTACGCTCGCGTAGTTTTTTATAAAACTGTAATATTCAACAAAACATCAGTTTCTGATAACTTATAAAGTTTTTATTTCATATTATCAAATATATTATTAGTTAGCAGTTGTATTTGTATTATACAGTAAAGAAAAAAGATTATTATAAAAATAGATGCAGTTACGAGTGATATACCAGCTAAAACATTTATTACCTGTTCGATATATAATCATTTTCTTTACCCTTTATTACTAAAATATAATAACAAATGTAAATTTATTACAATCATTATAATACTATGAAATCATCATTTCTTTAAAAATGTTATAACAGTATAATATACTCATAAAGTAACACTACATTAACAAATTAAATGCATTTCATTTGTATACATTTAGTTTGTTAAGGTCTTGTTTAAAGACAAATAGATGAATAAATGCTTCATTAAAAAACCTATAAAGAATATCCATGTCCTTCTACGTTTAAAAATATCTTATTGCAAGCTTCAAATTTGTTAAATGATTTGATGAACACTATACATCATTGAACAGTTAGAAAATGTGTTTCATAATGTACATAATTTAATTATTTATCATATCGTAAATAGAGATTTGGTTGTCTTGACATTATTTTAGATTTTTTTTTTTTTTTTTGAGAATTAATTGAAATCTTTACATTACATGATAAAAAACCAAACCAGCTCTTCAGCAAATTGTCAAATAACATTCGTCAACTGATTAGTCCTGAAAGTCATTTTATTTAATGTTTTCCAATAATTATTTACAAAAACACCAATAAAATAGACATTTTTTGCAAGCATTAAGCACTCAAAAAAATTTTCAATCATGGTTAAAAATTTTTGTTATCACTTTAATCAACGTTTAAAACTTTTTTTATAACCATGGTTTAGGATTTAAAAATTTTTAATAATGTTTAAAGTTTCACTGTTTACACTGAAAAAAAAAAAAATGAAAACAATTGAAATAGGCACATTGTAAAGGAACATAATGGTAAAATAACCTGTTGATCGTCAAAAGTTAAAAAAGTCATTCTTAATTTTTTCGTATTAAATATCTTTATCTGATCTAAACACTTTTAGGGTTTTCAACCTTGCTTTTAATCAATGCAAAGCAGATGTATCAGAATATTTTTTAAGTTTGTTTGGCAATATAAAAAAAAATCTTATGTTATTTAACCAAATTTACACATCTCCGTAGCAGTAGTTGTTAATGTTAGATAATCCTGTTGCTGCAAAAAACAGTTCATTGTTTAAAATTTTTTAAAGCAATCGTTATTTTATTATTTCCTATATAGAGGTCACATACCAAGTCCACTAAAGAGCATCATAAGATACTTGGACGTACCAAGTTTATGAAGAACGAAGGATAGAAACGTGAATGTCAGACGAAATCCAGCTAGGAAGTAGCATAGAGAAAGCGAAAATATATTGCATTAGATGTTAGAATGTGCAATTAACAACAACTGTTACAATTAATTAATGTTTTTTTTACCTGACGTATTGTATAATAAATTAAATTAAATATAGTATTTTATTACGTCATCAAGCTGATTGCCTTACTGACGCCCTGATGTGTATACAAGGTAACGTAAAGTATAAAACGAAAAACGTAAATACAACGTTTTATAACGATGTCTTTTATGGACCAAAACAAAAAAATATCCACATATATAAAAGAAGACAAAAAAAAAATAATAAAAGAACAAAAACTCTATAGGACCTAATTTTAGATAGTTCCGTGTATAAACGATTAGATTTTAACTTATTCTGTCATTAATTATCTTTTAATTTACGACTCATACTTGTTGGTTTGTATAAAAATTCACAATGTTTTTCTGTTAAAAAGTAAATAAGAACTCTCAGCAGGCATTTTGACGTCCTAAGGACGTCCGTTAGACGTCTTATTTCTAGTCCATGAGACGTCCTTAGTTTGTCTCAAATGGTAGACTTAAGGACGTCTATTCCAGACGTCCTAAACACGTCTTATTAAGACGTTCTAAAGACGTTCTAAAAAAAATAAATGAAAAATGCAAAATAAATGAATAACAAAACACTTGATTATAGTTAAATAAACCATCATTGATCAATATCAATATTTATAGATGTTCTCTTTAATCAGTCAGAAGATGCCTAATTACTCTCTTAAAAAGTTGCATGGCATCCATTTTGGGTAAGTTTTTATTTGACTTTAAAGCAGCATCTAATAAAAACAACAACACATAGTTTAATAAGATCATAAAATATAATATTTTCAGAAACATGTTATGTTTCATAGTTAAAGATATTTAAAAAAGGTTTTTTTGATCAAAATACTGGCTTTAATTTTAAAAGTTAATCAAACACAATAATAAGCTAATGAGAATCACAGTGATAGCGATACAGAGACTTGTCAACTCTTTAAAGTTTTTTTCTTCTTTTGACCATTCATGTTGTATTCAGAAAAAATAGTGTCAGTTATCAGTCTAAATATAAAAAAAAGATGATAAATGTTATACCGTTAAACATAAATGTTCTAATTCAAAAAAATGCTGATTACTTATCTGAGCAAAATATTTTTAACTGTATCAGCTCGATGTTTACTGCCAACTAATGATAACTGTTATACCTAAATAGAAACAATGCGAAAAGAACATTGAAAATGTTCATGACAATTTAAAAAAACATTGTAATACTGTATAACATATAAACTATAAAAATTAAATTCATGCATACAAAAATGATTTATTGGATATCTCTATTTGCAACTTTTTTTTCAAAACATCAAGTTTATTTAAATTTTTACGTTATTGAAATCTCACTTCTGGATCATTAGAGAATTGCGCAGTTCTATCTACTAACATACTTTTTATTTCAGCAAGTTGCAACAAAACTTTTCTCTGAAACTCTGAAAAGTAAAATTAGTAATATATAAATAAATATATATATATATATATATATATATATATATATATATATATATATATATATATATATATATATATATATATATATATATATATATGTATATATATATATATATATATATATATACATATATATATATATATATATATATATATATATATATATATATATATATATATATATATATATATATATATATATATATATATATATATATATATGTATATATATATATATATATATATATATATATGTATATATATATAACACAGAGGCACAAAGTATCATTACTATTCTATAAAATACAAATTAAAACATCTTTTTATAATATTGATATCTTTTTATAAAATTCCTTTATTATAATGGTAACTTATTCATACTTAATAATAAAACTCAATTTTCTTTTATTTAAAAATTGTATACATTGATTATACATTGATTATACATTGATTTTATATTGGTTATAGATAACACCCAGCAGGCAATTTGACGTCCTAAGAACGTCCGTAAGACGTCTTAAGTCTCGTCCGTAAGACATCCTTAGTTGGTCTCAAATGAAAGGCTTGAGAACGTCTATTCTAGATGTCCTAAAGAAATCTTTTTAAGTCGTCCTAGAGACGTTTTTTGACGTTCTAGAGACATCTCTGGCTGGTCTAATTTTAAAGACTTAAGGACGTCTTTTTCAGATGTCCAAGAGACGTTTGAATTTTACCAAGACATTCTTTTAAAAAATATATAAAAATGCAATGATTTACAACACAAACCTTAGATTTGCCTTAATCTAGGCAAGGGAAGTTATAAAAAGAAATAAATGTAAATAAAGTGTACTTTGATATTTTTAAAATAAATTAATAACTTTACAAAAAATAAGAATAATTTTTCAAACAAAGTTACATTTTCAAATTAAAAACTAATAGGTACAGTAGAATATAATCGATAGTGCATTATAAATAGAAAAAAATTGCTTAAAAATAAAAAAAAAAAACAACAACAGTTAATTAAGCCATCATTGAACGAAATTCATATTAGTGGATGTTCACTTTATTTGGTCAGAAGAATGCCTAATTACTTTTCCATTAAGTTGGATGGCATCCATTTTGATTAAGTTTTTATTTGACTTTAAAGCAGCTTCTAATAAAAACAACAGAACATGTTTCAAAAAGATCATTAAAAAAAAAAAACATGTCATGTATACACACACTTGGATACATGTCATGTTTTATAGGCAAAGAAATTATTTATTTTTTTTAATTAAAACATCATTTTTAATTTTTAATTAATCAAACACATTAATAAGCTAATAAGATTACCAGTGACAGCGTAACATAGACTTGTCAACTCTTTAAACTTTTTTTCTTCTTTAGACAATTCATGCTGTATTCTGACAAAATAGTGTCTGTTGGCAGTCTACATATATAAAAAAGAAGATAAAAGCTGTACTGTCAATCATAAATGTTTAAATTCAAACTTTAGCTAATTACTTACAAAAGCAAAATATTTTTAATTGTATTAGCTGGATTTTTACCCCCAATTAATGATAACTGTTTTACCTAAAAAGAAGCAACGTATTAGAAACATTGAAAATGTTTATAACAATTTAAAATAATAATTGTAATAATATGTAACATATTATTATAATTATTATTTTAAATTGTTATAAACATTTTCAATGTTTTATTATAATATTATAACATATTATTATTATAATAAATATAAAGTTGAAACTCATGTATACAAAAGTGATTTATTGGATATCTCCATTTGCGAATTTTTTTTTCAAAACATTAAATTTATCTCAACTCTTACGTTGTTTAAAACCTTCTTCTGGATTACTAGAGAACAGTGCAGTTCTATCTACTAAAATTTTTTTTATTTCAGCAAGTTGGAATATAATTTTTCTCTAAAACTCTAAAAGGTAAAATATATAAATGAGCCATTTAAGTAGTATATAAAACAGTAAATAGTACTTCCTATATATGGTTGAAAAGAGGTAGATTTAAACTGAATAATGCAAAAAATCTCAAGTTTCATGCTTAACCTTAAAAAAATATAAAAACAAGTAAAGTTCAAGAAAATTATAGGGTTTTTATCTAACGTCAAAAACTGTAAATAATTGCTACCTATACACAAACGCACACCCACATACTTATATATATATATATATATATATATATATATATATATATATAAATATATATATATATATATATATATATATATATATATATATATATATATATATATATATATATATATATATATATATATATATATATATATATATATATATATGTACATATCTATATATATATATATATATATATATATATATATATATATATATATATATATATATATCTATATCTATATATATATATATATACATATATATATATATATATATATATATATATATATATATATATATATATATATATATATATATATATATATATATATATATATATATGTATATATATATATATATGTATATATATATTTATATATATATATATATATATATATATATATATATATATATATATATATATATATAT